GCCAAAGACAAAATCTTTGGAACAATTTATTGCTAAAGCCATTGCATGTGACGATTGATTATTTGAAAGACATCAAGAATAAAATTATGGCTAATAAAGAACAAATCAAATAATGATAGTAGCTCCTAAGTTTTTAGAAACTTATTTATTAAAGCCAGAATCAATGCAAATTGATACAATACATTTTAAATCTCTCAATGAATAGGAAAAGAATTGAAGACATCAAAAGGACTTATGCTTATATTGTAGAGAAGCTAAACATAATATTCAATATTATCCAAAAAAACAACACAATTACAAAATGAGAAACACAATTGCCAAAAAAGATAATGTATGACAAAATGAATTACTCTAACTACAATAGGAACCATGCGACTAGAATCATGTGCAACATCTAGCAAAGGTCTTATTCTCTTCTTTAGTCCTTCATCTTATTTTATAATGGAAGTCTGTTTATGACCAAAAAATCATAAAGTTTTAGCTTTATTGGATTCAAGAGCCTTACCTTGTTTTAAAGATGAAGACTTTGTCAAAAAATAAGATATATTCTTAATTAAGAAAATTAAACTTGTGCATGTAGAAATAATAGATGGATGTTCATTATCTTCCAAGGATGTCACACACAAAACTATTCATTTAGAAGTATCAACTAGTAGTCACAATAATTTAGTAATATTTAATGTGATTAAGTTTTTTTTTTAATTCAATCATTTTAAAATTATCATGATTAGAAAGATATAATCCTCAGATAGACTCGATGCTGAATTTCTATACTTTGGCCCAAGGTCTTGCTGGGCAAGTAGAAATCCATAAATCTAATATATCCAAACTCTTATTAATAGATACAAAAGATTCTATGCATGCTGCAAATGAAGGGCCATTTTTTGCTATATATGCCATGCCCATTGTTGATAGTAAAAAGATATCAAGTAGTATTCCTAATCAATATCAAGATTTCTAAGATGGTTTTGAAAACAAGAATGCAGATATTCTTCTAGAGTATTGTCTTTAAGATTGTTCCATTGATCTTTAAGAAAGAACTAAACCACCATTTGGATCAATGTATAGCCTATCACAAAATGAATTGGCTGCACTCAAAGAGAACATTGATGAGAATTTAGCTAAAAGCTTTATATGCTATTTTAAATCTCCAACTGGCACTCATATCTTATTTATGAAGAAAAAAGATGAATCTTTACAGATAGATGGATTATTGAGGACTTAACAAGATCACTATCAAAAATAAGTATCATCTATCTTTGATTTCAGGACTTTTTGATCAATTAAATCAAATAAAGATTTATACAAAAATAGATCTATAAGGAGCATTTAACTTGGTCCGCATCAAAGAAGGAGGTGAATAGAAGACTACTTTTTGAATTAGATATGGACATTTTGAATATAATATCATGTCTTTTGGATTCACAAATATACTAGCTTCTTTCCAACATTTAATGAATGATGTCTTTCATGAGTTTATTCATGATTTTATTGTCTATTATTTGGATGATATTTTAATCTATTCTAAGAACACAAAAGAAGATGAAGTTCATTTTCATCGTGTGTTACAAAAACTATGAGATGCAAGATTATATGCAAAGATAGAAAAGTGTGTATTCCACCCTACTGAAGTTGACTTTTTGGAATACATCATTTCCAATGAAGGCCTTTTTATAGATCCAAAGAAAGTCCAAACTATCATAGATTAGAAGAACTCAAAAATAGTGAAAGATGTGCAATGCTTTTTGGATTTTACCAATTATTATTGAATCTTTATCAAGAACTTTTTTCAAATTACAATTCTACTTACATATTTGACTTGTAAAGACAAATTTAAGTAGAATAAAGAAGCCAAAGCACCGTTTATTGCTTTAAAGAAAGAATTTATTTCTGCACCAACTTTGTATCGAGTCGACTTTTCTAAAGCATTTTTTATGGAAACAGATGCATTAAAATTTGCCTTATGTGCAATATTGTCACAAACTCCATCTAGTAGCTTTTTATTCCAGGAAACTTTTAGCAGTCGAGGTTAACTATGAGATCTATGACAAAGAACTTTTTGCAATTGTGGATTCAGTTCAAGAATGTCAAACAAATTCAATCGACTATGTCCTCAAATCCTCTTATTCATGATATCAAGAATCTTTCTTCTAAGTCTCATGATGTTTCAAAGTTCGAGTTCAAAAATAACCTATTCTATTTTAAAAGATGCGTATATATTCTAAAAGAAGAAGCATGTTTACGTATTTTTCAAGCACATCATGATTTTCCAGCAGTAGGACATTTTGAATACAACAAGACTTTGGAGCTTATATCCAAAGATTTATGGTGGCTACAAATGTAAAAGGTGGTAAAAGACTTTGTCCAATCATGTGACATTTGTTCAAGATCAAAAATTCCTCATCATCAGTCTTATAGACTTCTCCAACCTTTCTTTATACTCAAACAACCATGGTTTCCATTTTTATAGATTTTATTACACATCTTTCAAGTTCAATTTCATATGACTCTATATTTGTAATCATAGATCGCTTCACCAAAATGGCACATTTTGTATCATGTATTAAATCTATTTCAAGTGAAGAAACAGCTAAGCTTTTCATTGACAATATCTATGGCTATCATGGATTGCCAAATGATATTATATCGGATAGGAAGACTCAATTTGTATTTAGATTTTGAAAAATCCTATTCAAGATTCTAAATGTGGATATAAAGCTCTCTTAGACTTTTCATCTTCAAACTTATGGACAAACGGAATGGATGAATTAAGTTTTGGAGTAATATTTGAGGTGTACCATCAACTATCATTAAGATGATTAGACAACTCTTTTGCTATTGGCACAGTTTGCATACAATAATTTGATACATTATTCTACTCAAGAAACAACTTTCTTTGTCAATCATGGTTATCATCCACCACTTGATACTTTTGACTTTTCAAAAGTTGATAATCCTGCACCAAAAGATTTAGCAAATCATTTGTCAGAGCTACATGCAACAATAAAGACATAATTAAAAGAAGCTCAAGAACGACAAAAGACCAACACAGATGCCAATCGCAAAGAACAATCACAATTCAATGTAGGTGATAAGATATGATTACTTTGTCGTAATATTAAGACTATTCATCTTTGTGATAAGTTGGACTATCGTAGGCTGGAACTTTTTCCTATTTGTGAAGAAATCAATCATGTTGCTTATTGATTACATCTAGTTGAGTCTATGAAGATCTACCTTATATTTCACATGTCTATTCTTGAGTCATATAAGATAATAAACATCTTGGGGAAAAGACAAATATCACCTCCTCCTATAAAAGTGGATAATAATCAAGATTTCGAGTTAGAAGAAGTCTTAGACTAAAATCGATGCCAAAATAGGTTGGAATATCTTGTTCATTAATATGGATATGATATTAGCAAACTCACATAGAAGCTAATAAAGAATCTTACAAATGCAATAAAGAAAATTGATGCCTTTCATCAACGACATCCATCAAAATCAAGATGAAGAATTACAAAGATCCATGAAAGATGATAACTGCTCCTTACAAAACTCGTCCCTAGAAGGGAGGTAATATCATAGACATATTCATTTATTCTAATAGTTACTTATATGATTAGGTAAAAGTAGGTAAATATAGATTAATTTTATAAAGTCTTCTAAACTAGCTTCTTAGAAGCTTCATAGATGCAATTTTGACTTTAGATGTATTTATAGGATAGAAACTTGGCCAACAAGTAAACCACATATTGGTAGCTTGTAGAACAAGTTAACTCCATGTAATAGCTTATAGAATAAGCTAACTATGTGGCACATATATAGATAACTTCTCTTACAAGTTAAAACATGTGGCTAGTAAAGTCAACACATGTTGGAAGTCCTATAGAATATTGCCATGTAGCTCCCAGTTAAAGAGTATATATGGAGGCAAGAATAAAGCCTTCTTCACTCTTATCAATGCCTTTCTAGTCCATAGTCTTATTTCAAGACTTTCTAGTCTTCTTGTTTTTGACAATAGCCATTCTAGTTTTATATTATATCAACTTTGAGTGACTTTCTAGTTCCTTTCAAGTGATATAGGAGTGTGTTGAGGATTTTCTTTCTTCGAGATTCATATCCTTGACAATTTGCCCTATCTAAAAAAAAAAAATCTATCTTAAATCAACAATAGTTTTTAAATATCTTCTACATTGAATCTATGAAGAGTTTTATAATAGTATGTACAAGCTTGTATAAATTATTGTAATGTAAACCAAAAGTTATAACATGACACATGCTAAGAATCAAATTAATAAAAACTAATTTAAGTATTAAAAACTTAATTTTAATCAAAATTGAACATATATACGAAAGAAAATTTCATCATTCAATCATATGTGATTTATTAATGATTTTTTTGGACTCATGCATAAGATCTTCTATAGCCTTGTAATTTTGATTAAAAAAAGACAATTTTCTTTACCTTTACAATTGTCATGTATTTCTGCTTCATCCAACTCTTTTCACAAGTTTAAATCCCTTTTAAACTATTTCTAATCAAACTTCTAAAAATGATTATTTTAATTTGTCAGCACAATTACATTCAACACAATTCCAAGAAGAGTTTCATACTCCAACACCTTTACCATATTTCTGAGAAGGAAAAGCCAGAAGGAATTTGTTGAAGAGTTTGGATAGATCAATAATTTATCCGTGAACAAATAGAGTGAACTTGACCTCAACCACTATCCAAAAACGTCCATTGAGGAATGCCCCAAGCATTTTCAGAACTAGTTCAGAATTTAAACTGAATACTCTACCCATGATAACCTCATCAGTAGATTAATCAGAATAGATAGGTGACGAACCCACAATAAAATCCGTGGCATCACACAAGTAAGCTTTGCTTCGCCATATGGACCTAAGTTGAGAAATGTACTCAAGATGACTTTCATAATCTAAGCTGAAAGAATCAAGAAAAGAGTTTCAATGCAAAATTACACCAACTCAAAAGATTTCAAAACACTTACTGCAATACATCATACTTTGTGAGACGTGTACGTTTGCAAATATATCAACCTCAAATACATAAGCATCCTCAAGAGTTAATGTTGGGATGGATATTCCAGATTCTCAAGACACCTTAAACTTGGATCTGCACCACAACATGACGGTGGAAATCATAGTGCTGAACTCTATGAATTTCGAGAATTTGCGCCGTTTAGCAGCCTCTTCATCTAAAGTCTTGTATGCCGTAGCAAATATGTACATTGCTGGATCAATTTTGCTGTCCAAAGCCAACCACTCTCTATCAGTGCTAAATGAAGAGATTACACGACGTCGGCATTGACATTACTTTGCCTAGAGTATTAGATCACCCGCACAACCTGCTACAACTGTCCATTGTTTCAAGGTTACAAGTATTGTGTTGAACTCAGAAATCGGGCCATGCTGTTTTTGGTGAGCTGAATGAAACAGCTTGGCATATCTAACGCAATAACTAAGAACAAAAAGATTACTGAAAATGGATTGAAAAACAAACTAACAAGAGTGAAAAGACCTTAGATTCCCTTGATCAGTTGATGAAATCACACCATATTTGTCCCCACTTTCTCCACTGTGATATTTCACGTGACGGACTTGTGTGTTCCAAGATTCAATATACCACCCACCAATATTATGTGTTGCAGAGCGAGGTGCGAATATCCAATACCTAAGGACAACCACAAGAAACTATCAGCAAGCAGCATAATGTTGAGTAGCAAAGGGAGTTGACAGCAGAAATTTTATGTTTTTGCATGCTGTTTATTCCATTGACAGAAAAAATTCGTACTGAATAAGTTCATCTATTTTGAATATTTACTAAATGGAAGCAGTTCAACCTGCTCGGGAGCAAGGATGCTCGGCGACACCGGCACTCACAACTTCCACCTTCTTTGAACCACGTCATATGCTTAACCTGCACAGAACTGCAAATCTCAGCCCACATTATACATCGATATGATCCTCAGTAATTGAGAAACAGGATGTAAAACAATACTTCAAGCCAATATACATCCTGTTTACCTGATTCTTAACCAGAAATTGAACATAACCGTGGAATTAAACTCCACAAGTTACAGAACTGCTCAAAACACCAGATTACCGAGCAACAAAACCATAGGGCTCCTTACCCACCAGTGGAGAACGATGTTGCACAATCTTGTGAGTTAACTTCCCGTCAGGGCCATGCACTGCGCAAACCAGCCGAGGATTCACGTCACCAAGCCCATGGATAGTTCCTAAGAGGTTTGGCGCTGAATTCAAAGTCCGACTTTTATCCTCAGAAGCTTTAAGGTTTTCTTGAGCTGCAATGGAATACACGTAAATGCAGTCTGTTGGCCTGAGTCCATCCGTACTGCAACCATCGACCTTGGGCTGCACCCTAGATGCTCTTGCAACCACCTTTCCAAATAAGTGCAACTCAAGATCCACATACTCTGATTCCACAGCTTCGTTCCCTGTATCTTCTCTGTCATTGTGCATTGCATGACTATGTACTTGATGCCCCAGAGTATTATGATTAGAAAAATTAACATGTGAATGCTCCGTTTTAAATTCGGAAGCATTAACTCGTGTCGTGCCATCAATCACCCTAACGCGACACTGGAAATCCTCCAAGGTGGGTTGCTGATGAGCACGCACAAAGCCAAAGAGATTGTGCCCCGAAACCAACTGCAAAATGTCTGTTCCCACATGCGGCTCAGCTCGTTCCTCAGCTTCAAAACAAACGGGTATTCCGTTCTCTTCGTAGACTGGAGGACCATGGTAAGCTTTACGCAAGGCAGATCCTAATTCCCCTCGCACACCTTCCATAAGTCCGCCCCCAACACCTATTTCTCGCCGGTGCACAGCAGATGTCACAGCAGAGCGGTACCCCTTCAGCCACTCAACAACTTCTGTCTCTGGGCATACAAACTCCTGCCTTTCAGGTTCATTGACGCGTGCATGGTGATCTGCGGAGTCTCCCTCTGCCTCAGATTGGTCCACTTGTTGATCAACAGATTTTCTTCTCTTGAAATGGTCTCTCGTCCGGTAACGCTGCCATTGATAAAATTCCTGCTTGTTCTGGGCTTCCTCTCGCGCTGCCAGTTGAGCGTCGTAAAGTGCTCTTTTGCGGGGATCTGCGAGAATCTACAGCAAATTACCATCAGCATCCTCTATCTACATACTGGAGCAAACCCCAAAGCCTTCGAACCTTTGAGCGAAATGACCCCAGTTAAATGAAATTGTCAACACTACTCCATACGAGCATCAAATAATTCTTGAGTCGCCACATGTTTAACCTGAGATTAATAAGGAATGTAGGAGCACGATCAACCGTGCGGACATGAGAACAATTCACAGAATGAATTGTGATAGGGGAAAAAAAAAAAAAAAAAAAAAAAAAAAAAAAAAAAGTGTAGAGACGTGCCTGATATGCAGCCAATACTCGGACAAAATGAGAACTTGAGGACGCCTCGCTACGACCAGGCTGCGTGTCCGGATGAGTTGCTTTCGCTAGCTCCCGAAATGCTGCACGAACCTTCTCAGGACTGCAATCCTTTTGGAGTCCAAGTATCTTGTATGCATTCTCGGACCCTCCTCCCACTGACGAGTAGGCCCTTGAAAATTGCAAACGGAGTGAACGCGTGAAATACATGCCTCACGCACAAACAGAGCACCTAAACCCTAAACCATAAGTCAAGGTCGCGAAACCCCACAACTTTACAATTGCATTGCGTAGATGCTCTAAAAAATTCCACGCAAGAGTGAGACTCGGGTAGAATTCATCACAAATCCCGGAAAACCACACCTCGATTACGACGATAACCACAACTCAAGCTCATCAACCCAGGTGCCACAAACAGTTTTCAAGACCCTGCAGAGTGCTGCATTACAATCCTACAAGTGCACTCTGCGAAGCAATTCCACTGCTGTCCCTTCTTCTGCACACCGAAGTGGCGAAAATCCCACACCTCATAAGCAGTTAACCGACCTATGCAAATTCACCGTTCCCGCAACTCACCACATGAATTGCGCTGCCAGCAGGCTATAATACACTACCCCACATCCCCCACCCCCCCCCCCTACTCCGCACATAGAAACGTGCCTCAGAACCTACAGGTGTACTACAACTCGGAAATTCAAGGCTAAGCGGTAGAAATCCGCCGGGATAGCATTCCGATTCTTAGCCAAGGATGAGGCGGAGGGAACGAGGTCTTCCCGGCTCCAAGCGCCGCGGTGATGCCCTTGAGGTACCCACCACCGCGTGGTTTACTCTGTGTGTTGTGTTGAACCTTTTCGTCATCCATATATTTTATCATCCGTTCGATTTTATCATCCATTTGACTTTATCATCCATCCATGTGATTGTCTGTGCATGGACCTTTATTTCTCTTCCTATTTTATTATTTTATATTTCACTATATTCTGGAGTGAATAATGAGAAGCATTGCATATAAACTAAATTGTCCCTGAAGCTTATGACTCGTAGGATAATTTTATAAGCAAAAATAATACTTAAGAGAATGGTGGTAGACTACTTGTATTATTTTTCACATTAATATGCTACTAATAGAAACATATGAATATTGTGTATTTTTTTAATGACTTTTCAATGGAAAAAAAAAAAAAAAAATCAATTTTTTTTTGCAAGGCTCTTAAAAAGGTCCTATACTTGTCAAAATCATCAACTTCACAAGTACCTTAATGAAAGGATTATATGCCATGTCATCATTAAAAGAGAGATCAACATTTACAGATTTTTATTTTTATTTTTATTTTTTAAAAAATATATTATCATGCTTACAAAATTTTAAATGAAAAAAAAAATGAGATTTAGTTTTGTATCAAAAGTTCTACTTGATATGTACAATAGATACAAATAAAAGTCTTCAAAAGCCAATGACAATTTTGAAATTTGGCTATGTCACAATAATTAAAGTAACTTGGATTTCTTTCATTTGAATTTTTTGTATTTTTTGTATTTTTTTTTTTTTTCCCAGCAGCAAGGAGAAGTCGTTATGAATGATTTTTTGGATGATTAAGGTATCAGAAATTTGCAATAATAACATGAAACAATGTCATCAATTATTTATATACGTATGTATGTATACATGTAGTTTTTATTTGTCACATTTTCTTTAATCAAACTAACAACACATTTGAATTAAAACCATGATGTTGCCCTTCAATCGAAAATGCTTTGTATTTATGATTTAATGTATGATATGTGATACGCTAAAACTTATATAATGTAGAAACCTTGATCACATCTTACAGATTGTACATTTTTTGTCTTAAGTTTCATTGGAAGGAGTGCTTATCTACCTCCATTTCCATGGATCACCATATGGGTAGTCAAGAACTGTTTGCATACTATAACTAGTATTAGAGAATGATTGCCAAAAATTATTTTTTATCATTTGTGTAGATGCAGGATTGCTAAATTTTTTAAGTCCCTTGAGATTTGAATATGAATACATGACATAAATGAGAAAGTGGCTTAGTGGTGATCATGAGATAGAAGTGGTTATGGAATCATTGAGGATGGCAAATACTGAAATTATGACAGCACCGATGCAGTTGATTAACTGGATTAACTCAACAGTTATTTGCAATTCTTACCCAACTGGCGCTTTTCACAAAAGTGGTAGATTTTTACGATACTTCGGTGAAAATTTCAAGTCTATCTGAACAAAAAAATGAGTTTCCAACTTCATTTTCTTCTAATCTACTAATCTTCAAAGCTCCAGATTTCAAGCTACCATAAAGCCCTTCATGTGGTACAAAATTAGCCTGGATGCTTGAATGCAAGTCTAAAAAACCACTCTGTACTGAAGATTTGTGTACATAAAAGGAAAACCGTACAAGCCCACAGGCATCCACTGCACCTAGTAATATAGTGACTGTGAGGGTTACTTTCTGTTCTTGTCAGCGTACTTCAGGGGCATGACGGCTTAACGACATGGCAACAGAGAACAATCTGTCCAAGAAGATGTTTTAGAAGCAATGTCGAAATCCTAGACTAGACTGGAATCTATCAGCAATTCAGACTGAACAGAGCACATATACAGGAGAAAATGCATTTCTGTTACACACACAACTTTGCTCAATTAAATAGCTCGGAAGCATACTTAATGCATGGTAGCAGAAGCTGTATCTTCCATTTTCTTGGAGGTAAAATAACTGGAAATGTTAGACTTCGTTTGTGATCCGACTGAACTTGATTGAGTGGCGGGCTTGAATTCGTAAGGCCCTTGTCTTACTCCCCAAACCTACAAAGGAATCATGCGCCAGTGAGAATGAAAGGAAGTTCCAGGTGCAAGTTGAAGTTGACATTTGCGCTGAACACATCATATAACTTCTAACTTCAAATGTCGATGTACCTGATTGCCCTCATTGTCGTAAGCACGGTCCCAACAATGAACTTCTCCGTTCTTGTAAATGGTGAGCTCTGAGGTGCATCTGGACGCTCCATTCTGCAACACTTCAAGAGATCAGAAATGTACAGGAACTGACCGGCGGCAGAATTGTTCGACAAGAAATAAGCTTCTCAACACCTTGCATTATATTGTTATAGACGTCAAATATAAATAACTGACTACAGAGCCACATGCTACCTGTACATCTTTCCAATTCATCACTTATGAACAATGAATACTATTATGAGTTAAAAAAAACGTGTACATACACAACTACTCAAAATTCACGAAAATCCTTGACTATACTTCACCGAAAGGAATAAGTAATATGTCAGTGTTCTGTTGCGAAATGATTCAAACAGTGACAGAAAGTGTCACGCACCCAGGAATTAGGAAAGCCTTCTGGTGGAGTGGACCCCTCATACAAACAACGCCGTCCTCGTTCACAAGCAGAAAGATAGACCGTGTTGAGATGCTCCGCCACATCCTGAAATTTGCACGTAAACATTGAGCTAGCTATTTCAGTACTGACCAAGAGTCACATCCACTTAAACACCCAACGTAAGAACCCATGACTACAAACATCTGAACAGGGAATCAATAATGTACACAAAAAGGACATATTACAAGGAGATATTCGTCACTCGAGACGTAGTCGTGAACTGTATATATATCTCTACCTTGAGCACTTCATCAGGTTGAGGCCTTTGATCTTTGGGACGATCACAAAAGTTTCTGTAATCCTCAATATCTCGCACAGCATATGAACCAACCTGCATTTCCAATTCATACAGATAAGTATTGCAACACTATAAATGAGGCAAAAGATTAGGCTCGGAAAGAACAGGGAAAAAGAATGCGGCAAAATAACTGACCTCCACATCACACTTCATTTCCTTTGGACAAGGCTTTACATTGTAGAATCTCTGCGTAAAACCACCAGAACAAACTATTAGAGGTGGATCGCTGTCCACCATCCTTAGCATCATGACCATCAGTTACTGAACACTTACTGAACACTTTGAAGCAAACAATCTGCGCTGTTGTATCAAAAATCCAGTGATGAAAAACATTTGCTTTACCTGACGATACGGCCTTTCTGGGGTTCTCCAAAAAGCCTGTAGTTGTAGCACACAATTACAAACGTGTCAATAGCTCCAAAAAGCAGCACTACAATAAACACTCTTTCCACTCAAGTGCATTTCACATAGTAGACGTTACCTATCAGAAAAATAATCTTCAACAAAATGATAAAACAGAAACTCTTCTGGATACGGATTGAAATAATAGCTTCCTACCTGCTCGAAATACATGACGTGAGCTCCATCTGCTAACACGGTCGCTGGACAAGTGAGAAATCTGCTCTAACATTGCAAATTGATTAGGCTTCGGTAGCTCAAAGGCGCCCTAGAGCTAAAAACTCTCCAATTTAGATCGAAGTTGCAAAACCAATTCACTTCATATATCATTTGCATGCTATAATGCGGGAACAACGCTGACCATGCTTAGACATAATTTCTAGCGGTTGAGAAACGTCCAGTACTCTCCGCAAATACGAACTAGAGCATGTTCGCTCTTGGGAGCTGCACAATACCTGAGATTGAAATAAGTCATTGGATCTCGGGCTGCTTGCTCGGTGGAAAACTGCAATTGAAGGTGACGAGTGAGTAAAATCATGCGCCATGAATCAAGGAACATGGATGGAAAGGTAAGAAATTAGTAGATATCCAAAAGTTTGTTGAAGATCCAACCATAGAATGCAACACAGCTCTGTTGCTTGCTGTAATTATCTTCTGCAATTGACGTTTAAATTTTGCACATGAATGAGCTGCAGCAATACAAGTGTGCTACTCACCTTTTCGCCGCTTAGGGCTTGGACAACCATCCGAGCATGATCCCAACGAGTTGTAGTCTTGGTCAACTTGCGAAGAAGAAAAGCTCCTCCTATGAGACACGCAGCTTTGACTACTAAACCTCGCACCATTCTCCCACCACCGCCACCTCCACCATTCCCGCTCCCGCCTCTGTTTGCATTATAGTTCCCGTTTCCTTTACGAATTTCATTTACATTATAACTCCCACCTGGATTAAAGCTCTCACCTAAACGGAAGCTTCCACCGGGATCACTGGCCCCAGCCACACTGCGCGACCCATAACCCAATTCTCTTAAAACAATAGAACTAGCATCAAAGCTCCCAGAGCTGCTCCGCGACACAGGCAGCGAGGAATTTGGCGACGAGATTGACGGTTCCATTTTTTCACATTGCCTTCCGGAAGTCACCAATAAATCCTTCTTCTCTGAACTTCGAAGACTTGAGAACTGCCGCTTCTACCGCATTTACACACAATTGTTTGCGATAACCCTACACTCCAACGCGTACCGTTGAGCTAACATCCTCCATCGTACACCTCCCGAGCTTCCCGAATTAATTATTCACTCTGACCATCCCCATTCCATAGATACTGAGTACCCATCCAAGAAACAAACACTTGCTATTGCAAATCGACTATCCAAATTTAACAACCACAAGAAAATCCAAGCAACATTCGTGTTACTTAAACCCAACTGAACCGCACCCAATATGCACAGCACCAACGCATTCAAAAGCAGCTCCACCGCCTAATCGCGCTTACAAATAGCTCTGTTATGAATCAGCCAATTCGCGCGCGCCATCAGAACAAACAATTCATGTCGATGGCCCGCAACACCCCACACAAGAAATTCAAACGATTGTACTTCTGTAAGCCATCTGAAGAAGAATTTGTCCTGGCGTTGCTGTTGCAGCACAAACCTCATCGTTCATCCAGCTTTGGATTCCACGTGGCTAGCTTTGAACGGTAGAGGTCGATTTTTTACCTACGTTATCAGTTCTGTCAATTCAGTAGTGTCCTTTTCGGTCGATCAATGAGTTAATTCCTTTCTGCAACCCACGGTGACAACATTCTCATTCATAAGTGCTTGTTGGAGAGCTATTGATGGCTGTCCCCGCAATTCTCTTAAGCACGCTTGGTTAGTTAAGTCTCTGTTCTCATCAATAACAAGCACATTTCCGCTCCTGTTGACTTCGATCAACAACCCTGTACACTCATGAAGCAGTTTGAGACTGCGGATGAAAAGTTCTCGTCTCTCTGTAGCAGCACCTCCATGGAATAATGTAGAGGGCGGTCACGTGCCGTGAATGCTTTAATGAAGACCGAAACGATCGAAGATGTTCTGGAGTCCGAGATGAGTCCATAAATTGATTAAGGGGTTTCTTGCTCAGCGATTGTCTAGCTAGCCTCGTGTAGATGGATGGAGAGTGTACAGCCGCCAACTGTGACGAGGATAAGCCCAAAGTATCGCGAACTTCCAGTTTGTGGGTTTAGCATGTGCACATTCGTGCCAATTTATATAACTTCAACGTGTCCCTTGGTGTGACGATTGTAGTGTAAGCGGTGTAGGTTTAGTTTTTGCCCGAATGATCTCCCGGGCAACGATGTTTGAGGGTGCAAATGCTGCACTGTTGCTGGGCGCAATTAGGGTTCACAAAGTCCGTGGAGGGACGTTGGTTTGAATTGGGTGATCCGGAAACATTTCGGAGGAGTTGGTGCGCTTTTGGCAATTTGTGGGTTGTGAGATTGCCCGAATGTAGCTCAATGCAGTATACTCGAACTGTTTCGGAGTAGACTTGATTAGAGAAGAGCCTTTCGTGGTTTCTGTAACCCCTTTACTCCACTCATTTGAATGTTTTAATTACGCGCATGAAAGCGGACTTGGGGACATTTGAAAGGACTCCACTGTAACGTGGCAGCAATATGAGGCTTTCTTTCACACCTCTCTCATTGCTTGAACCGGAATCTCTTATCGTGTCACGCAGTCAGACCTCCAGCTTGAAATTACTGCAACCATTTTGCTGGATTGATTCTGTTTTGGTTGCAACAGGGAGCCTTGGTTTTAAAACCTTCGAATGTAGTGTCCTTTCCTTACGAGACTCTTGCAAGTTTAGACTTAATTTAAAGCAAAGAATTTACAGGCGCAATTTTTATACTCTCAACCCTCAGAGAGAACATTTCACGCAGTTGCAAGCCTACCCCTACGTGTGCTGCTCCGTTGCCAATACATCTGATTTTACATCTGGAAATTCTGCAAGCCCAGGTCCTTTCCGACATAAATCCACAGAATTGTCTTTGTTAAATGTCTCTGAGGAAGTACCATCGCTTAGCGTCCGTTCAGATGTACACTTAGGAAAGATCTTCGTAGGCAATTTACCTCACTACGTCAAGAAGGAGGCTGTTCAAGAGTTTTTTTCAAAATGTGGGCCCGTGCAAGACATCTTCTTAGTACGAAACAATTCCGACCCACAGAAGAAGAAAAGAGGTTATTGTTTTTTGTTTTTTGGAGGCCCTGATCCGCACAGTGCAGCTATGCGAGCTGTTGAACTGGATGGTGCAGAATTCTATGGAAAACTTCTTCGAGTTAAGGTTGACTATCGGAGCTGGCAGCCCCACGAGAAAGAGAAAGCGTCCAATACTTTTAAGAAATTAATTGAGGAGCAACCTAAAGAAGTGCGGAAGGTGGTCAATGCTTTCAAGAGAATTGATAAGGTTAGCGTCCGAATTTCTAGTATCATCTGATTTGGTACTTTTCTGCATGATATAGGAACACTTAACTAACAAATAGAGGGTTCAAGACTGTGCTCTTGTCTTTAATTCAGGTTTGAGACCTAATCTGGACCTATTCCATTTTTAAAATTTTGAAACTTTTATTGTCTAACAGCATCCACTAAATTGCGCTCACTATTTATACTGAAACGCTGATAAATTGTTGTAAAGGCAGTGGAACGAGATTATGCATTGCTAATACATTACTATGGAAAGCGTGGGGATAAGCGTGGTGCGCGCGTTACATTTGAGAAAATGCGTGCTGCAGGCATTGATTCAAGTGTCCATGCTTACAACAAGTAAGTCTACATCACAACTTTTGTATTCTAAAGAGTTATCATAATGCACTAGATTACTTCCGCTTCTGTATCTCAGGTTCATATCACAGGATCCCATAGCTTCTTTCATAATGAACCGGAGATATGTGAAAAGCAGCTTGATACGTGCATACATAATGGCTCAAAATTTGCAAGGAGCGGTTTCTTGTGTTGAGGAAATGGAAATCGAGGGTATTTTCCCAAATGCAGCCACTTTCAGTGCGATTATATCAGGGTACGGAAGTTCAGGAAACGTTGAGTAAGTGTCTCTGCCTTACAGCACATAATGCAGTAGCATATTTTTTTGTGCAGTTTACTGGTGCACTAATCGTAAGTGTCTTTGGGTTATTGGAATATACAAATTTCATATGATTCTATTTTCGGGATTTCATTATGGCATTTCCTTGCTTAAGCTGTTATTTCCTTCACAGTACATTCTGTGGTTATTGTACTTTCCAATAAGTTTGTAAATTTTCTAAAATCATATGTCTGTGTTTCATTACTATCATCGAAGCCTAGGTTTTCAAAAAAGTGACAAGTCACATAAACAAGTGTAAAATTTCTTACATTTACAAACCTGTGGCATGTGGAAGAGCTGCAGAGAAGTGGTTCCAAAGATCAGTGAGTGAAAACTGGAACCACAATGTTGCCATTTACAGCAGCATCATTCATGCCTACTGGTAAAGTTTCTGAGTGCTTTTATCCTTAATTTTTCCAATTCCTCTCTTATTGATCCGGCAGTTGATAATTATTCAGATCGTTCATATTGTTTGTGTGTTCTTTCATTGGATTTTCATTGGAGTTTCATGCCTGTTATGCAACATTGGATGCACTTGGCATAACACACCAATTTTTCTGGGGAACTACAGCAAAGCAGGCAACATGGAGCGGGCAGAAGCCTTAGTGGCAGACATGGAGGAACAGGGATTGGAGGCAACACTTGGTCTTTACAATATATTGATGGATGGTTATGCCCGTTGTCATATTGAGGCTCAGTGCTTGAATGTCTTCCACAAGTTGAAGGCAAGGATCGTGACCTTTGGTAAAAGTGGACTTGAAAGAATAAATGTATATTACTGTTGGTTACTTCATTTGAATTTGATACTCTTGTGTGTTTAAATCGTTGGGTTTAAATTCTCTTACCATTTTGTCCAGATTTTGTTTCAAATATGTATCATGCTCACATGTTCTTTTTAATTTCAGGACACCGGCTTGTCTCCAACCGCAGTCACCTATGGTTGTCTCATAAATCTGTATACGAAGGTACATGTGCATCCATGATGAAATTCTTTATCATATCGTGGAAGTAGCTTAATGCAGTGAATTAATTTTATTTCCTAATTCTATCTTTAACTGTGGACACTGCAGCTTGGGAAGATGATGAAAGCATTGGAGTTCTGCAAAGAAATGAAGGCTCAAGGCATCACACTTAATCGCAACACTTATTCAATGCTTGTTGATGGATACGTTCAGCTGGGTGATTTTGCAAATGCGTTTTCTGTCTTTGAAGACATGTCAGAAGCAGGCATTGAACCAGACTGGGTCACATATAACATTCTGTTAAAAGCCTTTTGCAAAAGTCGACAGATGACTCGAGCTATACAGCTGCTTGGCCGCATGAAAACAAGGGGTTGCTCACCTACAATTCAAACATACATTACCATTATTGATGGCTTCATGAAAACCGGAGATGTGCGGATGGCATATAAAACAGTTTCAGAAATGAAGTTGGCTGGTTGCCGCCCAAATGCAACTACATACAATGTCATCATGCACAATCTTGTTCAGTTAGGCCAGGTTTGTCATTACCTAGTCGTCAAACCACAACATGCGGGATTTATTTTCATGAATTATCATGCACACAACTGTTGTGGTGCGAGTACAAGCATCTCGCATCACAGTGATCTTCAAAAGAACTGGTGTAATTTTATTGATTTAAGATGAGCAAACAGTAAAATTTGATGATCTGAGGACATGTTGGAATTGCTCCTAATCGTCAAGATGGTACTCTGCAACACAGATCGATAGAGCTGCATCTGTCATTGATGAAATGGAGTTGGCTGGAGTTCAGCCTAATTTCCGCAGTTACACTACCCTTATGCAGGGGTTTGCCAGCATAGGAGAGATTGGACTGGCTTTCAAGTGTTTGAAGCGCGTCAACGAAATAACGCAAAAACCACCCATTATTTCATATGCCTCTCTTTTGAAGGCCTGTTGTAAGGCAGGACGTATGCAGAACGCTATTGCAGTTACTGAAGAGATGGCTTTTGCAGGTGTCCCAATGAACAATTACATCTTCAACACTCTGCTTGATGGGTATGATATTTTCTCTTGCACTGTGCTAAAGCTTATATATGAAGCATTCTGAGGATTGCACTGCATATTCCTCTCTGTATCCACAGCGTATGTTGAAAAGAAGGATGTCTGGTCAGGACGGCAGAGTCGCTGGCATATGCTTTTCGATATCGTAGGTCTCTAGCTTTTACTACTCCTTCACATTATGTCAGTGTGTCTACTTTGAAATCATTCTCTTTTGAGTAATTTTGAAGAAATTTTGGGTTGCAGTTAAGATCGTCGTTGGTTAGTTTGTCAAGCTGTTTCTCTCATGTAGCAATATCATATTTTGATTGTGTTTACCAGCACGATATCTTGTAAATTTATGTGCTCATTCATGTTCAATCATGCCAACGCTGGTATGAGGTAGTAAAATCTCTATTTTCTGTTGGATGTGTTACGAGGTGAAAATTTTAGTAGCTGGTTTTCACAGGAGTTGGATATTTTCAGGTGGGCTCAGAGAGGAGACATGTGGGAGGCATATGGTATAATGCAAAAGATGCGTCAAGAGGGCTTCACCCCTGATATTCATTCTTATACTTCCTTTGTCAATGCATGTTGCAAGGCAGGGGACATGCAGGTATTGACTTTAAGACTTTATAACTTTGATTTAGTGTCTTATCTGGAGACATTTCTTTGGATAAACCTGTGGCTGATTCAACGAACATAGGCGCATAATCCATTCCATGTGATATCCGTAAATATTGCGTAGAACGAATTCTTGATATATCAACATGTGGGAATGGGTTTTGTGCAGAAAGCAACTGAAACCATCGAGGAGATGAAACAGCAAGATCTACAACCGAACCTGCAAACCTACACAATTCTCATACATGGATGGACATCTGTATCCCATCCAGAGAAAGCACTGATTTGCTACGATGAAATGAAAGCTGCTGGATTAATACCTGATAAACCACTTTACTATTGCATTGTGACCTCACTTCTTTCGAAGGCAGCAATTGCTCGTGAGACAGTAAGGAATGGTGTGCTACAAGTGACTTCCGAAATGGTAGACCAAGGTATGTGCATTGATTTGGCAACTGCCAAGCAATGGCAACGCTCTCTGATGAATGTTGAGAGGCGACCGGGCGAATTGACGAGAGCCGTGGAGCGAATATTTCCACCAGGTACAGATAACCATATCCTTATGAGTTGCTGCTACAAAACCCGATATGTCATAACCTGCATTACTTTATGTATACTATATTTCTGGCCACTTGTGCATACAGTTCATATGCTTTCCATGTATCCTATTTTGTGTCGAAGTGACGACTCCGATTATTGAACAGAGTGGAAGGCGACAGCGGAAGGAGCACGTGTAAAAGAGAAAAGAGGCTCTGCTGGCAACATACCGACTCCGACAACGACAACCAAGAGGAATAAGAGTCGTTACCAGATTATGAAAAGGGAGGAATAGTTGCTGTGTCTTGTACTGATTGATTGATTGAAAACATGTGATTACATTAGTGTCCCTGTCTGCAGTGCTTGCCTGTGATGTGAACTTGATTCAACGTTAGATATCTCTATGTAAAGTTTTTTTATGAAATACATGGTTAAAGCTTTAAGAAAGCATGTTTATAAAACAGTTAGACTTTCTAGTCATATTTGTGGGAGATTTCAACATGTTCAATCTGACCACTTTTCATTAACATAGTTTCCTTTTCTTTTATTATATAAACTAATTCAAAACAATTGTTATGTATTGATTTGAATGTGTGCTAAGTAGAACTATATATGTATAGATATATATATATATATATATATATATACACTACCAGAAATCTGTGCAGTTGTGCACAGAAAAGCTGTAATATTTTAATTATATATATATATATATATATATATATATATATATATATAATTTTCTATTTTTATATTTTCACACGTGCATATTTATATATATACATTACAGAAGTTGTCTTAACTACTTTCAAGAAGGAACAACACCTGAAGAATATCCCAAACTCTTAGAACTATTGGAACTAATGACAGGTTGGTGTCTTCCAGCAAAAAAAATGCACACCCTCAATTTTGGTGACAATGTTTTTGTAAAGGTCAACGTTCCACACAAGTGTATAATTAGGGGGTGGTCGACAATAGGTCGGCTACCTGAGCATGTCTCACAGATGTCCTGGGTTGAAAATCAGCTTACAGCACCTGAATATTTCAACCTTTTCAAAGATATATTAAAGGAGAAGCTTGGTGTAGGCAGATAAGACAACTGATATTGTCCAGTGCTGAGGAGTATGGACGGATAATTTGGGAACAGACAAAAACTTACAAACTGTTCTTGTATAAAGGTGGCGCAGTTAATGGCGTGGACCATATTAGTTGTCCATGTCTATACTCCTCAACACTGGACAATATCAATTTATGAATATTATAAGAAAAGAAATTGGAAATAGCATTAGATAGCAAATCAAAGTTCTACAGAGCAGTGGACCAAGTAGATAAGTTGCACACTAGTAATTTGTCTGGACTTCTTCTACCCTCTTTTAAACAAGAGAATTAGGACATAGGATGAATTATTACTTTTCAAAAAACTTAAAGCTGTGGAACAGGTTTATCCATTATCTATATAATAAGAAAAGAAAGGAGAAGAAAATAATTAAAATTAATAAATTAATAACTAGATAACTGTAAGTATTCAGTGTTTTACAATTGCTTTAAGTGCTTAAGATGAGTGCTTACATATGTAGATGATTTCCTTTGTCCTTTTTTGTTGATAAAAAATGCTCGTGGTTTTTGAAGGGAATGCACCCTATATATTTTATTATATGAAAAAGCGATCGTTATTTTTTTGATGAATCTACTGAAGAATTTTTAGGGTGTAAATATGCAGTGTGCATAAAATATCCTATTTTGTCACCTTTTTTGAGTGTATCTTTTCTTACTTTTTTTTGAATTTTTTGCACATACAGCAGAAAAAAACTGGTAAATCATATTACAATGAATGAAAAAAAAATCAGATAATTCAGAAAATTATAGAGATCCGTCGTATGGGATAATCAGCACATTAATTAAACTGTCTCTCATTCTTCCTTCAGAGCATACCAAATTTGTTCGCGCACCTATCACAAGGCCTTTTGGTTCAGGTACCGGTCAAGAAGTCTTCCAGGACAGTGATTGCTGGTCCTGTCCCTAGATAGTGTGGCACTTGCGGGCCATCCAAGACCTATAGAATTCGTACTTTTCTAAGCATAAGAGAATGTCATGTCTGTACAGAACATTTCTTTTATTGTTCAAGCCTGCAGACAACAAACCATCGAAATGGCAAACGAGATTTTCGCAATAATAAATTGTTTCCGATTTACAGCAGGTCCTATAAAATAATCTTGAACATGAATCTGGTACTCTGAAATTTGCAGTGCCAACACATTTCAGAACATCTTCAACAATAAATGCGCAGCCTCTGCACACTATACGTCTACAAATTCCAACAAGACACATCTCCAATGAACGACTATTGAACTTTTCCTGTAGGCTGTAATACTATGCAATTCTTGTGCCTGAAATTCTTCAACAACCATGGTCGACACGAGAAACAGTCAAACCAAGAATTTTTACTGGCACCTCAACTTATTCTCCTCTGACACTGTGGACAATCCAAGAATCTCTGGATTTCCATGAATCTCTGCAAAAAGGTCTAATATGTTAAAGGGACATTCTGCAACTCGAACAAGTGTTAATCATGGATTAATGGATTAATCATTAGTTCAACATACTAATCCATGACGCTCTTTGGTATCAGGAAGTGGAAAATATTAGTCAACGTCAACATTCGTTCGTTAGTTCGTCCACGGGGTTGGGGGGAGCGGGCAGGGCAGGGGAGGGTGGGGCACCTTATCGACAGGTCCAAATTCGTCCAGATCGTGGATATATGGATGGATAGATGGATGAATGTGTAATGCCTTATTGGATGAAAGCACTGACAGGTATATATAACCGAGCACAAGGAGGGGATTAAATGGCAATGAGAAAATCTAAATAATACTCTTTTTACTGGAATATTATTTCCAACCACCAGTGAACAGAAAGGGTGAGAAAAATTAAAATTAAAAATCAATAAGTAAATAATAGAAAGTGCCTTCTTCTTCACTCCAAACAGCAGTATTGTGAGTCTGGAATAACATTAATGATATTGCTGCAAAGCTTCTCTGTCACAAAGTGTGTGTATGTGTGTGTGTGTGTGTGTTCTTCTTCTTTATCTTCTTCTAGACATTGCAAGAACATCATTTGCATCACTCCTTCTTAATAAACATGATCTTAACTTTGCAGATCAGAGAGAGAGAAATGGTTCCAAACTTCCACGTGGTAGTTGCCGTGGCTTAGCCCTCTCATGAATATGTGCGTTTATGAAAGGAAAATAACAGAAAATAATAAAGAAGAAGTGGAAAAACTTAGTTTCTGGTGTATATTCTCTCTCTCTCTCTCTCTCTCTTTCTCACACACACAAATGGCAACTGTTTCCAAAGTTAGGAAACAAAATGATAATGATAAGAATGATCATCGAATACCCAATTGCTCAAGTTTGAGAAATTCTGTTATTTTCCCTGAATGAATATGCCTTCCCCTGAATGAATATGCCTTCAATGAAGTGTAACCAAAAGTAGAAGAACAAATGAGTGTACATATGCACTGATTCATGGTTGCTTAAAACACATGGAAAGTTTGATTATGCAGTGTTTGAAACACCATAGCCTCATTTGTTCCCATTCCTTCTTTGATTATGAAAGCAGACGCATAATACTTTAATGCTATGTATTTGACATGTAGCAGGCACGATGGAAACAGGTGTACACTCCAATGCATTGACACACCCATCTAACCCCACCCCACTGCCTTTGTTGTCCACCTCAGCATCCCCACCCCACTGCCCTCGATATCCAGCTCAGCATATCCACCTGGCTACTACCACCACCCCTTAATGTGACACCTGGATGGCACCCCTTTTGGTGCTTCCAACTTAAGTTTTGCAAGAGTCAGACACAATTTTATGTAAGATATTGAGCCTCAATAACTATCACTAAGAGTTATCACAAGAGTGATTTGAATGTATGTACATATATTTAGAATCATGTAATTTATCTTACAGTTGTACATGTAAAAGCCTTATAAATAAACTTCGACATTGCTAAATATTAGTTTGTAATATCTGATGTGTCACTATTGGCTTGAGTAAGTACTGGTGTTACCAACTATTGAAACCCAAGCTCTATGAGCAAGATATTCACTAAAGAATTCAAGCTCATGCCAGTTAATTATTGGATTGCACTTATTAGAGCATTTAACTTTCCACACTACTTCTTCAAATTGAGCCAACATGAGGCTTGAGATCTAGAGGAATAAGCTCTCACAAAATCCCAACTTATCGCTCTAAGACAGAGTGTTGGCTTGAAAAAAGAAAGTAATAATCATACTTTGCATTGGGTTTTTTTCAAGCTCTATTTTTGGTGCATTAGAGATTGACAAAAATGCTTTTAGGTTTAATATTTTACTTTTTGGTCTAGCACAATACAAAATTTGGGTCTAATCTCAACTTCTATTTGAATGAAGAGGGTGAGTTTTGAACTTCATTTGCCTCAACTTTATCTATGTTATGAGGTGAGAAGATTTTAAGAATATAATTATGTACATGCACACTTGTGTGTATGCATATATATATATATATATATATACAATATTGCACATGTCATGATAGTTTTTGCTATTGTCACCACAACTCATTCAACATACCTCCTAAATTATTATTTTTGGTGGCATTAACAATATCCTATATATATGCTTTGTAAATAATTTCAAGCCTAATGAAGCACTTTAAAATGCTTTTAATCATGTTATTGTATGCTTTGTTGCTATGACAATACCAATGCCTATATCATTTTTTTTATTTGTTAAGATTTTTTTAACACTTTTTAAGATTTTGTATTGAGACACTTACGATTTTGTCAAATCATCTTCAAAACAATATGAATTGTAATGCATCAAATGTAAATGCAATTGTCAATTTTATCTTTCCATTAATAAATAAATTATTTTTCATACATTTACAATCTGATTTGTATTATGCACTCCTTTTTTCTTTTTCTTTTTTCCTCTTATTTCTTTCTATTTAATGAAAGATAAACCTATTTAATTCACATTTAAATATCTTGAAATGTGACAGCATTAATACTTAACTGCAAGTTTTTAGAGTAAATAAATTAATAAAGATTCTGAACACATGCAAAATATATGGAGGATAAAAGAAAGCATCAGGATTTGGAAACTAAATAATAAACGAGTATAACTGAAAATCGGAATGAAGGTTTCAATATTCTTTTTTCATGAATCCAAAAGACCCACTTTGTCATGCTGTGTGGATCATGATAAGCAATACATGATTTGTTACATTTTTAAATAATATTAAAACAGTTTAAACCAATAAAACAACCATTCAAGCAATTTATATGTATCAAAATTTGCACCAGCACTTTAACTTTTTTTTAAAATCAAAGTATTTCTTTCTTTGGGGTGATTGACTTGTCTTGTGTAACAATTAAACATTCCACAGACCGTGTGTGTAAAATAAAGCAACTTGGAGGCAGAAATCCTAAGAAAGT